GTTAAGTATATTTAACAAAAGAATTACTCAGACCCTAGAAAATCAGTCATTCAATGAGGAGCACAAGTTTCATTTTATGTATTCTAATTATTTGAAAATATATTTTAGAGATATTTCACAATGTTGATGTTCCTTATCCTCTATTTGATAAGAGTCCCTTTGCAAGAAACCTTTGTGATGTCCAGTGCAGTAGCACAGACTTCAAAGCCATGTCTGCTTAAAGCAGGAGGCTGAACTTCCTGAGTTCTCCACACTTCTCCTTCAACATAAATTATCCTATGATCTCACATATACAAAACTAGATAAGCGGAATAAAAAATAAAATGCCTAAGATGCTTTTGGGGAGCTTTTTTTTTTTTTTTTGAGGACATTAGTGGGCGGTCTTAGGGTTTTTAATACATTTTTGGAAAGACATTTTTTCATTTGTAAGCTAGCTATAGTTGTTTTTCTCATTTACAGTCCCAGTCTTCCAGAAGAGGGAGTTTGATCCTTCGCTACAGTAATCTAAGAATGAGCAGCTGCAGGTTCCAGATATGACACTTGCAGGTTTCTCTTTGATGAGATTCAAAGAGAAACATGTGCGCCATGTTGTCACAGGTTAAAGTGCTGTAAGACCACAGGCTACAGCTCACTCAGTGGGAAGAAGACTTTTGACATTTGAAAAAGCCAGTTTAACAAAGCTCAAACATAACAACATGAAAACCAAGAGAAAAAAAAAATCAAAGTCGAAATGAAGCATTTTAGCAAAACACAAAAAATTGACACATTTTGCTGTAAGTTTTGTCTGAAAGCTGAAAATTCTTGAAATTCTCAGAGCAGGGATGCCAAACAAACCCTGTTTCTGGTGGCTGGTTCACACAGATTATGAGTGAAGTATGATCAGATTACAGAAGAAATTATGTGATGGGGTTGATGCAACAGCAGGAACATGGCCTGGCAACCTATAAGCTTTCCAGCCCACTTTTATTCTTCTAGGAAATAATGGATTTATTCTGCAGAAGGATTGGAGAACATGCCCAATATTTAATAGAGGATCCTTCTTTACTCAAGCTTCTGAGTCAAATGGGACAGATGGGAATGTTAAAGCGATGAAGAAAAAATTAATAAAATTGAAATACACAATTTGCATAGAAAAGTAGCTTTCAATGCTAAGAACAAAATACTTATAGGTGAAAAGGAGCAATTTGGTAAAATGAGGTAAGGTGATAAACTCATTTTCAATGTCTTATTCCCCACTTTGGAATATGCCCACAGAACAGTCAAAGCTCTAAAGGTTTTACTTTGCCTCAGTAAAAAAGCAGATTAAAAGAAATATCTGCAGCCTACATACAACTTAACTTTCAGGACTCATTGGGCTAGGCAGGTCTACTCCAGAACACTATAAATGACAGTACAGGAGTAAAATTCTACAATTTCTGTCATAAGTAAGTTCCCAACCCTACAGATACACACAGGACTACAGAAAAATTTCTTGTGCCTAAAATTGTATTAAGGTTGTACTTAAAAAAAATGCTGAAAATAGAAGTGTTCTACCATTGCTGTTAGCTGTATTTACAGAGGAGGTAGCCCAGACAAAGAAAGCTGAAGTAATATTCTAAATATAATTTCCTTCCAGCATGTGGCTGCTGTTTCTGTTCTTTCTGTCCCATTATTATTTCCTCCATATAATGGATAAGATGACTGAGAGAGAGTTCAGGGACTTCTCCTGCACACTGTTAGCATGGCTGACAGATTTCCTCCTCAAACTGAGCCTGTGAGCCTGGGTGGCTTTGCCATGCAGCCTTTTCCCCTGTTGGTGACATTATTATTTTGTTAGGTTCCCACATGTCTGAGGCTCTCATAGTTTAGGCAAGTTTCTCTCTTACTCCAAGATTACCAAACTTCTCAAACTACTTATGTTTGGATTGTTTTGGATTCTTTTTTAATAACTTTCTCTTATAGCCAGAAAATCTTGTCAAGAATAGAGATATTAAGGGAAGTGGAAACTGTTACATCTGTGACACCTAAAGGTCCAGTCACAGAGCCTGTACCTGGAGTGTTTTGACATTGGTCTGTGTGTGTTTTAATTTTTTTTTTCTTAGGAGTTTGATCCTATCTTTGAGCTGAAGGAAGGTAGCAGGTGGCAAATCTGACTACGAGAAACCATGGATGCCAATTCAGGAGCTCCGAAACACCATCTAGTAGTTTCAAAAAGTGTTTCCTGAAAACAGAATCTTAAATACCTTCATCAGTTACTTGAATTAAACTGCATGGATGTGATCTAGCATGCATTAATCCATATTAAGTAATACATAATTTGTATTAATATCTGTGATGCAAAGTCAAGACCTGCCTAACACACATCTAGAATGAGGCAAGAAGCTGGTGTTAAAAGTATTGCAGGGCCATAACGCACTATTTTCCACTATGCAAATGAATGCAGATAGTAGCTACACTGAACAAGCTTGGTTTGTTTTAGCAGGCTATTGAAAAAACAACAACCAAAAAAAATCAAGATGCTTTGGCCCATATATGTAAATAACAACTTTACAGCAAAATTGTTGCTATTTATCAAGTGACTGGTACAGATTCACTTTCCAGTCACGACAAGGGTTTATTCTGAAAATACAACCTGTGGTATCACAGGCAAGCTAAGACAAAAACATTGCTTCAGTATTTCATGCATGCAAACTTCATATAAGCTGAATGTTAGCAGATGTGTCATCAACAGCACATTCACCACCAGGAACACCCTAAGCAATCCCACGAAACTCCATGCGCTGGAGTTGTTCATAAAGCTTGACTGACACCAGCCAGTGCTGGCTCCGTGCAGCCCAGACTAAAGAGCCCTCATTGCATTTTCCAGCTTTCACAAATTTAGCATTGCATTTAAAAAATTGCTTCTCTCTGAAGCCACCTCCAAATTCACCCTTCAGCCATTCTCTTTCTAATCCAAACACATTCAACCACAAACCTAAGTTTTGGCAGTGCAAACCCAGAGCCTTTGAAGATGATAATACTGTGCTTGACTACTGTGTCAAATAGTTTTTACACTCCTCAGGTTATGCAAATAACAAACACTTCTGCTACTGAGTGCTACTTATCAGCATGATATTACTTTTTTTTCCTCTCACCAGAAGGAAGATAACTGATTAAGCTCCTGAACGAGATGTTGTCACTGTCCAGCTGCAGCAGAAAGTTCAATTATCTTCCTTCCAGGCTCAACATCCTTAGAACAAGTGCATGTGCACACATGTACACTGAGATATATCACATTATGCCAGAACACAGAAATGGACCTGAACTGGACCTGTCTTTTCCTCTTTTGAAAACAGACAAGACTCAAATATAAGTTAAATTTAAAAACTGACTAGAAACATACCTAAGTCATGTTAACCTTCTTCATTCATTCCAGAAGAGAGGCTCCTTTTGGGCCACAGGTGTGTCCAGTAGACCCATGACAATGTCAAGCCAAAGCCCCTCCTCCTTACATACTCTAACTAATACCATTTTGAAAGAAAATCTCAACAAAATAAAAAAAAGCAGTTTTTGTTTTCAGAAGGTATAAAAAGGCTGTTTCAGCAGCACTTAGCCTCACTATCATGTGGCTGAAAAATGCTCTGGAAACAACCTAGCTAGAACCCAACTGGAGTAAGCATCTCCTACTGAAGAGAAGCAAATCTGCACAACCAACACAAAGAAAGAAACAAAAATACTGTCTGCACCAGATAAACACTGTGGGGCTTTTGGTCTTGTTAGATGCAGCCTAATCTGGGAGCTTTTTGGTGCTTTGTGCTGGATCTGCACAGATTTAACCTCTACTCTTGAGAGAGTAAAGCCAGAGTCCCCTGTGAAAACCAGGTCAGACAGAACTGTTGTTCATCAACAGTCCATTCCCACACTTCTAGAATACAAATTATCTTTTTCCTTGACATATACACAGCTTCTGTACTGACACATGCACATACAACTTGGCTGAGGTAAAATCTGCCTGTTCACTACAAGCTCTGCACTTTACCATTAAAGGTCAAGCTAAGGAGAAAGTAAACCAAACACAAAGCAAACCAAAATGGGAGGTACACAACACAGAGAACTACAAAGCAACAGGTGCCTTTGGAAACAGGTTTTCACATGGAAAAGCACAAGAAAATAAATTAAAAAACACAAAGACTAAAAAAAAACCCCAAGCATTGGTCTTAAAAAAAAAAAAAAAAAACAAACCAAACCAATTAAAATCTAATTTTAAAGAGTACTCAAAACCAGACAACTTAATATGCTACAGTTTCCAGGTATGTGAACAAAACCAAGAGATCGGATATGACCCTTTGTTGTACGTCACTTCATTTAAAAATGTAAGATAAACATAATTAATTGGATTCACCTTCAAAAAATTAATCTTGGGTAATATTTTTGGCATAGTTCTCTTAGTCAAGAGAATTTGGAAAGGGAAACAGCGGAGTAAGAGAAGATATATGCAGATGTTATTCTGACATGTACAAAGTTACTCTGTCTCCACAGTACTATCTGAAAGTACATATTTATTATTTATTATTTAGGTAAATAGACAACAAATCACTTGTCCAAGTGAAAAATAATTAATTTCCATGTAAACTGATATAAACTGCTTCTAAGGAGATTATAATCTCTTCGGTGCCACACAGTGCGCATTTATTTCCTTTTGAAGGAACCACTTTGCACTCTATACTGGGCTTCCTTTTAGATTATGTAATTTTACTTGTTGTTGAGTCAAAAGCAGAGAAACACAAATACTTTGGCTCTAAGCAGGGACAGTATTATTCCAAACCATAAGGAACCACGTGCCCTGCTGGAGCAGCACATGTTTCACAAGAACAGAGACTGGATGACGTGGTTTCACCCTACCAGCAAGAGCATCCCTGTTTGTGACACACATCTGCAGTGGCCCCCAGCAGGGACTGTCTGACTACAGGCAAAGGGTCATCTCACACGGCAAGAGCAGCCTCCAGCATGGATTGGAAATAGAAGAAAAACATTTGACGTACTTGGATCTGACAAGATTGAGTCGGTTTTCGGCAAAAATTGGTCACAGCGGACTCCTTGGTAGCCCTCTTTGCACCTGAGGAAAAGGGGATAAATGACAAACATACGCATGCGGCAGTGAAAGGTTAATCTCAAGGCACCAAACCAACCCTGCCAACACAGCTCCACATTATGCAAGTTATTTGCACTCTAATGGGAGCATGGTTATTACTGGAACACAGTGGAAGCAGGTAAAATAATTTGTGTTTCAAAAAATTTCCCCTCAAACCTTTTGATTATTTTAGAAACTACGAAAACAAACAGTGTTCTAGCACAACCATTCTTTTATACATCAATTCAGTGAAACAACCAAAGAAAAAACCAGTATAAAGTATGCATAGCTACAAGTAAAATAAACCCTTCAGGTAACATAGCACTTTATAAAGCTTCCATGCTGCACAAAACATGAGACAGACAGCTTCTCTTTGGCTGTCTGAAAAAGCAGGGAACAGTTAGCTAGCCATTAATTTTAATACCAGTTTATACTGTGCTTAGATAGACATCACCAGGCATTGTTTGCAAGCAGGAAGTTTAAGATGCCTGGGAGATTAGATTTTAAGGCACATAAACCAGAATACCCTCCTGCCTCAACAAACAAGAACTGGCTTTGACTGAGATTGTAATACTATTATTTATCTTGAAGCCTTACTTTGAAGAAATTCCATTTGCTGCTTTTGAACTGTTCTCAGAAGTCTCATTTCAACTAAGTGTATCAGAATCAGATCTTTAATTATTTATTCGTCAAGCAGTTTTTCAGAGGAAAGTGATGGACACTTTAATTATAAATGATAGCACCAGGGATTCCTTATCTCCCAAAGCTCTTGCACATCACATAAGCAATATGCTCAAATCAGCATCACCAGCTTTCATTAGGGTTGACAACTGCAGCTTGAATGATGTGATAATGTCAGGAGAAGAAGCTATCTGTTCCTTCACAATGTTTGTACTCAGGCCTCCTCTAAATGTTGCCTTTTAATACGCTTTTGGTTTTATAAATTAATGGTTCAATGAGAAGTACATCTCAACAGCATTGACTCAGGGATTAGGAAGAACATTTGTGAGAAAATATGTAAAATATGTTCCCATCAGACCCAAAAATGTAGTAAAAATCTGCAGTAAGAGAAAGATTTAAAACTCCCATACATATAATATTTGAAAACTTCCCTTTTGGCCTTTCCCCCTAATGGATATGAGGTACTGCTTTGGAGATCAGCTTCCTCCCAGTACTTGCCTATCTATAAAATAACTGACTTGAAAAAGCTGTTCAGGTTTTGTTTCATTCAGATCCTATGACAGCGGCCATAAGCTATCGGTCAATGAAAAAATGTTCAATTAATTAAAACTGTCCACTAGTCAGAAAAACTGAAGCCCACACGTACTCAGGTACTGACATATGCATCTTCTGCCTCTGATTAAGAAACATCAGAAGCTGCCTCACATCAAAAAGAAACCCTTCTTCACAGTCTTGAGAGGAGCTGGCAGACCTCATACCAAAGCTTAAGTACAACCTGCCCTGGTGGGGATTCTTGCCTTTCTATGAGCATTTTCTATTCACTTTTTGACACCCATTTGCACCTGCCCCGTTTATAAATCCCGTATTACAGACTTAAGACCCTCTATGCTAAACTGTTGGTCATACAAGCATGTGAGGAGAGAGTGACAGAGTGGTATCTCCTGGAAGAGCTGTGCCAAAAGCTCATCGGAGTGCGTGGACGTTTTCACTTACCTGTACCTCTGACAAACATGCCACAAAGGGAATGTGTTTCTTTCAAAATTTAGTACAGAGGTGGATGATACTCCAAAGGACAATCTTTTAATGAAACACCATAACCTCACACTCAGATAATACCTATTATGGTGAGACTGCACCTTGAAAGCTGTGTCCAGTTCTCTGTCCCTCAACACAAGAGGGACATTCAGGTGCTGGAGCGAGTCCAGACAAGGGCAACTGAGCTGGTGAAGGGAGTGGAGCACAAAGGAGGAGTGCTGAGGGAATTGGGGAGGTTTAGCCAGAGAAAAGGAGGCTCAGGAGGGGCCTTACTGCTCTCTACAGGCCCCTGAAAGGAGGGTGCAGTGAGGTGGGGTTGGTCTCTTCTCCCAGGTAAGAAGTGCCAGGATGAGAGGGAATAGCCTCAAACTGCACCAGGGAAGGGTTAGATTGGGTATCAGGAAAAAATTCTTTACTGAATCTGTGGTCAGGCATTGGAACAGCCTACCATGGGAAGTGATGGAGTCAGCATCCCTGGAGGTATCCCACACCACACCTGTGTAGATGTGGTGCTGAGGGACACGGTTTAGACATGGGTTTGGGTTAACAGTTGGACCTACTGATCCTAGAGGGCTTTTTCAGCCTCAGTTATTCTAGAATTTGACGGCCAAACATAGCTTGGTTTTTTAAACTGCATTAAGATTTTCAGCAAAGATAAAAATTAAGTCTTCTACTTCCCTTAACAAATTCTTTTTTAAATCTCTGAAAGCAAATAACAGCAATAATTGCTCTGCCATTATGACACCCGAGTTCAAACTTTTGCACGTTAAGCCCCTAAGCCTTGAAGAATACACATTTGACAGTTATAATGCTACAATATGATAAAAGTTGATCATGTGGCATCCCATAATCTCAGCTAAATCATCTACCATGTGTCCTAAATAGGCAGATGTGATATGCACACATGCTGCTCATTGGTATCACACCTCTAGGTAAGAAAGCACAACAACCCACTGCAGAAAACCCTATGAAAGCAGCACTGTGGTGACACACACAGCAGTTCAGCAAAGCCCAAATGAGGTCACTCAATATTGCCATATGCAGTGTGAATGATCAAATACATATTTATGGATGCATCAAAAAAGCCATGAGTTACCAGACAAACCTTGAGAAATGCTTAGGTGCAGCTCATGGTTTCAGAAATGATCACTCAATTCCGAGACAAACTAATGTTTATTAGAGATGCCATTAAAAAAAAAAAAAAGGGAAAAATAGAAAAGAAAAATAACGTGGATAAGGTATTGCCTGTAGTGAAGAAAAAGCACTGATGTGCATGTGGGACCCCTGCAGCAAAGGCTGGAGAGGACAGCCTAAGATCCATTCCAGCACCAGCAACAGCTCCTCTCCAAGTGCACACCATGGCCAAGGGGTCTAAAAATTGTGTTAATTTCAGCCTCTTTGCAGAGTAAATAGGGAAAAAAAAGGAATTCTCTTTTTGCATTCAGATTTTCACCTAAATGAGTGTGTCTGTCTAGGCTCTAGACCAAAAATATCATCAGGATTGTGCTGTATGAATGGAATTAGCTAAATCCTTCTGACTACACGGTATGAAAAGACAAGCACAGGTAAAGCTACTCTGCACTGCTGAAATGCTTGCAAACAGCATATCCCTAACTGATAAGTGCTAAATTCAGCTAAGATTATTTCATCATGTCTTCTTCACATCTTTTTTTGGCAATATGCTTTCCCAGATAATTTTTTGAGGTCACCAGTAACAAACTGCATTGTGCATTGCACTTTGTGAAGTCACACAATGACCTCTGTGTGAAAACCCACAGGCAGAAACACATCTCTCATTCCTCGTGAGAAGCCTTTTTCCCTTTTTACTTAAGCACATTTGCACCTAACTATTAAAAAGCGAGTACAGTATGAGACTTTATTCATTCTTTCATTGTTTTTGCTAATGTTAAACAGTACTAATACATGTTTGTTCTAGTCAAAGACACTTTCTGTGGACATTTTCCAAAACTATTTCTTGTACAACCTTATGGAGCCAAGGGACATTTCAAATAGATGACTGTGTCACTCATAAGACTAACACAGCACTCTAATTTTTAATGTTGGATTCGTTTGAAAAAGTAAAGTGAATGGGGGTGAGGGTGGAGAAACTTGCACAATAAACAAAGACGAAGAATAAAACAGATTTAAGACAGCAGAAAGGGAAGAAAGAGAACCTACACAGAAAATGTAGGGCAGGACATAAAACTTTGGGCCAAGAAGCCAGTACTATCAGGATTTACATTTTCCCCAAAAACTTCCATATAAAGCTCCACACCCCTATTATACCTAAATATTACTTGTCAAGGGACAGGAAGGTGGGGAATGCAGAAGAGAGAGTGGCAGCAGCAAACTGCAGAGGCTAGGAAAGAAGGCAAAACTAAATCCCCATCCCTTTCCTCCTCCTCTGTGATATCCATCCATCTGAAATTGAAAAAATTCTCCCTCTTCCCCAAGTGTGGTGATCACATTGCCTCTGACCATGTGAAGAATTATGCAGAAAATGGCTTTTCTGCACAAAGAATTTGCGAAAAATAAAGTATACAAGCTCATTTCAAATGAAAATTTTGAAAATAACATGCGGCATCTCAGGGACAGACTACACCAAAAGAGAAAGCTGTAGGACTACACACCAGGAAAATAAGGATGTCATAGGCCAAAGGTGGTCTGTAATATTAAATTTAAAAAAAAGTCATACTAGCGCAGTGCCCAAAAGATTAACTTATATGAACCTATAATCTGATTCTAGTCTCATAAAAAGGAGGAATCCAATTTGAAAGATGGAATTAATAGTACCTATGAAAAATGAAATTTAATTTTTGCAGTGAATCCAAATCAACACACATTTCCATTCCCTTGTAAAACTGCAAATTGGGAGTCTCAAAGATGATATTAATTAGAATGATCCATCTCAGTGGATCAGTTGCAAATTATTTTGTCCTGACACCATTATATCCCCTGCACTAAGATTCAGATACCAGTAAGAGAACATATTGCAGCTTTTATTTATCCTCTAAGAGAGAAATCCAAGATCACGATAAGAAAATATTCTAATGGTCTATAAATTTCGATCAAGTATTTATTTTCACACAGAGAGTGCAATACTCTTTAACCTGGGTCAGAGAATCAGTTACACAATAAATCTATGATAGCAAGCCATGACATTATATAGGCCATTGGGCTGTCCCACAATCTAGCCTGAAATGTGCTGTAAACAATGACAAATAATTCCTTTGCTCTGCAGGTAAGCTAAATATAGATTTCTGTGCCTG